TGGTTCGCACGTTACCTCATGCCACCATGCTGGTGGAAGTAAACAATAGATATCTCATTAGCTCCTTTTGTTTGTCTACCAGCATTTAAATTTGACCCGCACACGTCAACGGTGAGTGACAAATGAGCCTAGGTCTTCCCAGGGAAGACTTCCTTATATAGCGTGCCTTCGTGTTTAATGATGGAAATAGGACTGCTTGGAGTCTAATTCTGTCTGTAATCATGTGAGAGATTGTTAAAAAATCCAATAGCAAAAAAAGAAACTAGGAGTCCAAACTATGTAAAAAAATGTGTAATAAAAATTATCAAAACATTTGGTTTGAATAAAACTCCTTTCACTTTGTAAACATTTCCAAACTGATGGGATTTAAAATAAGCGTCAATGACAACTCAAAGACAAGGACCAAACTAAGTTACCCACTAGAAATGTCCAGGTTAGTTTCCAATGTCAAGGGTAAAGTTATTAATGTGATTGGTTAATTTGTTAAATCACGCACACCACATGAATACCAAAATAATACGAAGGTGGGGAGAGGAAAAGCAAAATCGAAAGTCAAAAAAAAAATTAAACTTTCTACAGTGTTTAACAAAATCAGACGACCATGAAATGGGAGTCCAATTTGGTGATTAGGTTGACTATTTTGGAAATTAACATGAGTTGTTTAATTTTTCATTATATCTGTTTTGTTCTTCTTTTACACTAGGAAAAGATCGAAGTTGTAAATGCGCAAGCTGATGTATTTGCGGCAGCTGACCACTTTGATGCTCCCACCATCAAAGAAAAGAAAGAGATTTTAAATAACCGATACCAGCAGCTACAGGTGATGATGATGATGGTGATGGCGATGATGAAGTGTGCATGATTGAGTAGCTCAGGGAAATGTCCTATATTTAGCCTCTACTAATGATATCAATGCAACATAATGAGAACCAGTGCTCCAAGCACGACTCCAATAATGAAAAGTTAGTCACTACTACAGACAATAGTCATCTCAGGACTGCAGTATTCTCATCCAAAAGAACAGACTATGTGATCAAATGTTACTATAACAGTACTGACACTATTTACTGTATAGTGTTGCCTTGAAAAGAAAATTTAGTTACATTGTAGTGCTAGCAATGACAGACCAAGACTTACCCCAGAATTTGTTTTAAATTTTTTATCACAAAACTAGTCATCTTATGTCCTTTTCCTAGCAAGCACTTAACATTCCCTTATTCTTTTCAGGCTCCCCTTCTAGCTCGCAAAGCAAAGCTGCAGGATGCTGAGAGACTAAAACGATTCCTTCATGATGTTGAAGATGAAGAGGCATGGATCAGGGAGAAGGAACCTATCGCTTCATCTACAAACACTGGTAAGTAAATAAATTCCAGATAACAATACAAAATAGTGGACTAAATGAAAATTGATTCTAGCAGAAATTATGATGATTGCTCTATAAGCCACTTCCATGTACATGTAATTTGCCTGAAAATGAATTGAAAGTCCTGTCGTTTCTTTGTCCAAAACCCAGTTTGTCCAAGCACGCTATTTTTATAGTTCTGTTTTCATCATTTGAACATGATAATTTTTCTTAACAGAAATTCTCCCTCAACTTTAAACCATCATGTTTATAGTGAACTGAAAATTAATTGTCTTCCTCTGTAGGCCGAGATTTGACAGGAGCCCAGAATCTGTCAAAGAAACACCAGGCTTTGATGGTGAGTACAACCATACCTGAACAATAGAAAAAAAGATATTAATGACCAAATTGGTTTGTTGCTAGAAGCCAAAACAATTCGCAGTTACAAGGTTGAATCCATTTCTCAATCGTAAGGTCACTGTAAATGATTAAAAACTGGATCATTGGATAATACAATTCAAGACTTTTTATTGGCTTAGCCATTATGGTATATGAGCCAATATACCATAATCTATAAACAATTATGGTAAGCGTACGTGTCAGGTAAAATTTAAAGGAGCTAAAAAACTTAAGATTTGGTGAGATTTGTGTAATATCTTGGGGGCGTTTTTAATAAAACAATTATTCCACTGGCACGTGTTGGTTATGAGATGATTATAGCCAACTCGGTGCCACATGCCTTGTTGGCTATCTATCATCTCATATCCAAGGCTTGCTCATGGAATAATTGTTAATTATAACTTAAATGAACATAGTACACATTCTCTGATTGGTCAGTTCAGTTTTCAAGCAGATGCTTTATCAAGTTATGAAGCTCGCATTTGATTGGTGACAACTAGATTAATAAGCTTTCCTCGTGTTCTCCCAACCTCTGGCATGGCTTTATCACATTAAGAGCCTGAAAAGTGTGTCCTATTGCTTAAGTAATTCCAAAGGGTGTCTTTTGTCCAGTTTAAACTTATGAATCAATAATTTTTTGTATGTGTGGCCTACAAGCAGGCCCTCATGATGAGCTTTGAGTCACGAGTGGTTCTTTGCTCATAGCTAAGTTTTAGGCCTCATTCAAAGCAGACTGGTAGGAAACTTGTAAGGCATTCTCATTATCAGTGCTAGACCACCATCAGCCCTCTTGCTGGCTATTGTTGCTCAAGGCCTCAAACTCTCTTGCTGGCAAAGAGTCACTTGCACTGAAGGGCTGACAATAGTTTACCACTTACTTACCAGCATATTACTTCCATTTTACTTTGCAGACTGAAATTGCTGGTCATGAACCACGTGTCAGAGCTGTTTGTGATAATGGTGTACAAATGATAGATAATGGTTAGTTCTCTTGAACAATTTTCCATAAGAATGCGTTTTCTTTTCATTCCATGTGCATTTCACATACCTTCAATACTCTGTCTGTAATTTTTAGTTTGATCTGAATGTCTTGACTCATTTGTATTTTGTTGTGTTTTGCCTCAGGCCATTTTGCAGCTGAGGAGATCAAAGAGAAGATTGATGATCTTGACCAGAAATGGCTGGACTTCAAGGTACAGTAAGACTATTCCATGTCATATTGCATATCTGCTTTTATTAACCATTTAAAAATAATTATTTTTGTTTGTGTGAAGATATAGTGTCTTGACAATTTTTTTGCCATAACTCTAGGATAAGGCACATGTCAGAAAAGGACACCTGGATGACTCTCTTCAAGCTCATCAGTATCTTGCCGATGTTGCCGAAGCTGAATCCTGGTTAAAGGAGAAAGAACCAATTGTCACCAGTGATGACTACGGAAAAGATGAAGACAGTGCACAAGTACATATCTCTTTTGTTTTTGCATCAGTCTCGGGGTTGTCATAAGTACTATCTGTATGACCCAAACTTTGCAACGTACCCTTCTAATGGAGTCCCTAGACGTTCTACCCCTGAAAAATTCAAATTTTGAAACTCTCTGAGACTGATTTCTAACATTCTGGGACATATTGACCAACTTTTTAGCCAGACATTAATTTTAGGGTCAATTCAAAAATAGTTATTTTCTGTCTTTGATCACAGTTCACAAAGAAGCTGGTGTTAAGTGGTTTGACAGCCACAATGTTTCCACCACACACCCACCTCTAATAACAACCCCAATTCTTGTTATTTTTAATTGATTCCTGGCCCCAGTTGTTTGATGGAAAATGCTATCCACTGTTTAAATCCTCATCCAGTTGTTAAACCTGTACATTTTGTCAACACCTATCCGCTGGATGACGATTTATCTGCTGCATAGTGTTACCGGCCCTTTGAACAACTGGGCCATGAAGCACAAGTTTTGTTACATGTCTCAACTAATACTTTGAACACTTTAGGCATTGCTTACCAAACATGATGCCATCATGTCAGACTTAAGAGCATATGTAACAGTTATAGATGGGCTGAGGGAACAAAGTCAAAACTGCAAGGTAAGATTTAGTACAGGATAAACACAAAGAAAAAAAAGACAATTATCATTAGACTGGGTCCAGCAGTAGTATCTTATTTCCAATGTTCCACATCAAATTAAGTACTTGTACTAACAAATTGTGTTTATCTTGTGGAAAGNGGAGCCCAGAATCTGTCAAAGAAACACCAGGCTTTGATGGTGAGTACAACCATACCTGAACAATAGAAAAAAAGATATTAATGACCAAATTGGTTTGTTGCTAGAAGCCAAAACAATTCGCAGTTTCAAGGTTGAATCCATTTCTCAATCATAAGGTCACTGTAAATGATTAAAAACCGGATCATTGGATAATACAGTTCAAGACTTTTTATTGGCTTAGCCATTATGGTATATGAGCCAATATACCATAATCTATAAACAATTGTGGTAAGCGTATGTGTCAGGTAAAATTTAAAGGAGCTAAAAAACTCAAGATTTGGTGAGATTTGTGTAATATCTTGGGGGTGTTTTTAATAAAACAATTATTCCACTGGCACTTGTTGGTCATCTCATATCCAAGGCTTGCTCGTGGAATAATTGTTAATTATAACTTAAATGAACATAGTACACATTCTCTGATTGGTCAGTTCAGTTTTCAAGCAGATGCTTCATCAAGTTATGAAGCTCGCATTTGATTGGTGACAACTAGATTAATAAGCTTTCCGCGTGTTCTCCCAACCTCTGGCATGGCTTTATCACATTAAGAGCCTGAAAAGTGTGTTCTATTGCTTAAGTAATTCCAAAGGGTGTCTTTTGTCCAGTTTAAACTTATAAATCAGTAATTTTTTGTATGTGTGGCCTACAAGCAGGCCCTCATAATGAGCTATGAGCCACGAGTGGTTCTTTGCTCTTAGGTAAGTTTTAGGCCTCAATCAAAGCAGACTGGTAGGAAACTTGTAAGGAATTCTCATTATCAGTGCTAGACCACCATCAGCCCTCTTGCTGGCTATTGTTGCTCAAGGCCTCAAACTCTCTTGCTGGCAAAGAGTCACTTGCACTGAAGGGCTGACAATAGTTTACCACTTACTTACCAGCATATTACTTCCATTTTACTTTGCAGACTGAAATTGCTGGTCATGAACCACGTGTCAGAGCTGTTTGTGATAATGGTGTACAAATGATAGATAATGGTTAGTTCTCTTGAACAATTTTCCATAAGAATGCGTTTTCTTTTCATTCCATGTGCATTTCACATACCTTCAATACTCTGTCTGTAATTTTTAGTTTGATCTGAATGTCTTGACTCATTTGTATTTTGTTGTGTTTTGCCTCAGGCCATTTTGCAGCTGAGGAGATCAAAGAGAAGATTGATGATCTTGACCAGAAATGGCTGGACTTCAAGGTACAGTAAGACTATTCCATGTCATATTGCATATCTGCTTTTATTAACCATTTAAAAATAATTATTTTTGTTTGTGTGAAGATATAGTGTCTTGACAATTTTTTTGCCATAACTCTAGGATAAGGCACATGTCAGAAAAGGACACCTGGATGACTCTCTTCAAGCTCATCAGTATCTTGCCGATGTTGCCGAAGCTGAATCCTGGTTAAAGGAGAAAGAACCAATTGTCACCAGTGATGACTACGGAAAAGATGAAGACAGTGCACAAGTACATATCTCTTTTGTTTTTGCATCAGTCTCGGGGTTGTCATAAGTACTATCTGTATGACCCAAACTTTGCAACGTACCCTTCTAATGGAGTCCCTAGACGTTCTACCCCTGAAAAATTCAAATTTTGAAACTCTCTGAGACTGATTTCTAACATTCTGGGACATATTGACCAACTTTTTAGCCAGACATTAATTTTAGGGTCAATTCAAAAATAGTTATTTTCTGTCTTTGATCACAGTTCACAAAGAAGCTGGTGTTAAGTGGTTTGACAGCCACAATGTTTCCACCACACACCCACCTCTAATAACAACCCCAATTCTTGTTATTTTTAATTGATTCCTGGCCCCAGTTGTTTGATGGAAAATGCTATCCACTGTTTAAATCCTCATCCAGTTGTTAAACCTGTACATTTTGTCAACACCTATCCGCTGGATGACGATTTATCTGCTGCATAGTGTTACCGGCCCTTTGAACAACTGGGCCATGAAGCACAAGTTTTGTTACATGTCTCAACTAATACTTTGAACACTTTAGGCATTGCTTACCAAACATGATGCCATCATGTCAGACTTAAGAGCATATGTAACAGTTATAGATGGGCTGAGGGAACAAAGTCAAAACTGCAAGGTAAGATTTAGTACAGGATAAACACAAAGAAAAAAAAGACACTTATCATTAGACTGGGTCCAGCAGTAGTATCTTATTTCCAATGTTCCACATCAAATTAAGTACTTGTACTAACAAATTGTGTTTATCTTGTGGAAAGAGGAAATGGGAAGTGTGGGGGGGAGGGGGGGAGGGAAGGGAACAAGATCTCAGTATGGTGTAACCAGGGTTACATCAGTGACCAAGGAGAGTTCTTAAATTTGTGTCACCAAACCAAAAACTTTGATACTGTTTCCTTTAAGACACAGTTAATCTGTATGGAAATATGAGGTGGGGGAATCTTTGCACCATCTTTGCATCCACCAATGCTAATTTACATGAAATTATCTCCTCCAGCCCTCTGCTCATGTCACAGATATCTCTGACAAGGAATGTGTAGTTGCTCTTTATGACTATCAGGAAAAAACAGCAAGAGAGGTGTCAATGCAGAAGGGTGATATTCTAACCCTGCTCAATTCTAGCAACAAGGCAAGTCTTTTTTTTTTTTTTACTTATGCTGTACATTTGGTTTGACTACATTCAAAGAAAGAAAAATTCATCATTAATTTCTTAAGCTCATTTCACATGAAAGACCCAGGAAGCATCTAAACTTGAAAATACCAAAATTAAGGGTGAGCAAAAGAAGTTGCCCAATTCCTCTTGTTAGAAAGAAAAAAACTATTAATAGTATAGTTGAGAAGGTTTTAAATTATTTACCAATGTGTAAAATATTTTTGTCAAGGTTGAATTCAACTCAAGCATAACGAAGTGTGATTTATCATGTTTTACAAGGGCCTTGTTAGAAACCAGTTGGGAAGAAAGATTAACAGTCTTCTAAATTCTTAGAGGTAACCATCGATTCTGTGACACTTTGGACAAAATCTTGTGCATTGATTGCAGGATTGGTGGAAAGTTGAAACTAATGACAGACAAGGCTTTGTTCCTGCGGCATATGTCAAGAGGATTGACTCCCACAAAGCCTCCCAGGAGCTTTTGTCGCAGGCTCCTGAAGTGGACACCGTTGCTAATAGACAGCAGGCTTTGGATGATAAGTGAGTATCAGACTTTGCCATAACTCAGGGCTGTGGTGACCCCTGGCACCTAAATTTTGCTCTTGGGCTACTCAGGAATCTTAGCATTTTTATAAAAAGCATATGCTGGGCACTCTGGATTTCACAGTTTAAGAGCACTTGGGTTCCCTTCAATTTTTCTTAGAGTACAACCATGTTTAAATTGTGTCATCCTTCCAAAGATTAACCCTTTACCCCTTAACTTAAGTATGCATATTCTCCATACCGTTCTTTATATATTCCTTAACATGCTGACAAGGAGAATTTGTTAAACAATCAAGAGCTTCCTTAATTGGAGATAATTTTCTTTCTTGTGATCTTCTTCTTTGATTCAGGGGTGATTTGTTAGGAGAAATTAGATGCTAATCCCTTTTAGGGGTCGATTTTGTGTTCCTTTTTTTCGTGGTGGTGAGAACAATTATGGCTTGCCGATAAAAAATTTTTTTCATTCAAACAGATATCAAGATCTGATGGACAAAGGTGAGGAGCGTAAGAGGAAGCTGGAAGATTCCATTCAAAGATACAGTGTGTTGCGGGATGCTCACGAACTAGAGTCTTGGATCAATGACAAGGTTAGTGTATTTTGTGGGAACTTGACATATGCAAGCTTAAATTTGTCTGGAAACATAGTCCCAAAAGGGTTCAAATTTTGTGAAATTTCAAACGGCAAAGGAGGCCGACACGTGCAGTAATTGGGTCATATCACTCCTTTGCCATTTAAGTGTATATGACACAATTTTTTCCCGCTGATTTTCGTTGTTGATAATGTTTCGTTCAAAAAACGCGCTGCTTTCACGTCGAAGTTTCCTCAGAGATCACGCAGCCAAAATGTGACATGGTTTACGTCTGTGATGTCGCTGTGTTTGATAAACAAACCAAGATGGTTTAAAGCGAATTAAACCGAGGTGGTCGAAAATGAGCGTCACTGGCAAATCGCTCGCGCATTTGAAACTGTGTGCAAGAGAAATGACAAGAGGAAGTCACAACTGGAATCATAGTTATGCTGGAATCAAACATTGTGACGTCACACGCACAATGCTGGTCCCCAGTTTCCCGGGGCACTTTTATGGGGAAATTGACCGAAGATCGGCCGTAAAAAGTCATCCCAAAAAAATTATCATTTTCGTTTATTGCATATACCTGGGAATACACAAAAAGACATTTTGTGTCATATACGCTTGAAGGGATCTTGTCAAAAATCTGATGTCTTTCTAATGATTTAAATTAACATCACAAACCTTTTCTTACTTTTAGGAAGCAATTGTCACCTCCGAGGAAGTCGGAAAGGACTACGAACATGTGGAAGCACAGCAAAAGAAGTTTGATGACTTTGAAAAGGTACAATGTGGACAACCGACTGAACATTGTTTGCTCGGAGGGCGAATTTTTTAATCGTATGTCGAAAGTTATCTCAGATTGCATTGGCTTTGCTTTACTTCGCTTCGTGATTGGTCCAGAAAACTCGAGCTGTCCTCTCGACCAATCAGATTCAAAACTAAAACCAATCGCGTTTTCCCGCGCCTTAACAATTTAGCTGTTTTTACTTTTCTTTCTTATTGGGTCCTCGAGATGTTTTCCTTTTCTCTGATTGGTTGTTGTGATATCCTTTCCTCTAATTGGCTGTTGTTCCTTGTGACACGTTCCTTTCCTCTAATTGGCTGTTGTTCCTTGTGACACTTTCCTTTCCTCTAATTGACTGTTGTGATTACTTTAGTTTTAGTTTGACGACGCTCAATTGAAATACGCTCTATTAATTTTAACATAACACACCAAACATTTGATTATCATGCAGGATATGATTTCCAAAGAAGTTCGTATCAGAGAACTGACGTTGCTGGCAGAGAAACTGAAAGTTGAACACTACACAGAATATGAAATGATCCGAGAGATGATTGAGGTGAGAAATAAATGATTGTGTTGCATATTTTACAAACACCAGTAGATTGACACACTTAGTTCAAAATATGACGACAGAAAACATCTTTTTTGAGTGCACAGTATTGAGCGTCGCACTTTATTTCTCTGTGGATATTTGGGCTTTAATAATGCCATTTTATAAGATATCTTAAAGTTTACTCAGCAACCAGGTGGACAATCAGACATGGTATGATGCTACTCAGGTTTAAGGATTTAATGAACGTAACCGGGGAAATGACAATTCATCAACCCAACGTTTCGAAACTCCTGTTTATTGCCCTTATAAGGGGTCATAAGTCTTAACTATGAAACATTGTACTCTCTATCTGAGATGAAGATTTTTACAACAGGAACTAAGCGTGTGTTCTAGTGAGGTTGCAAATTAAGGAAGTTTTATTTCATTACCAATTGTATCAGATTCCTCCATGCGAAAAAATGAACCCCTTAAATTTACCCGCTCCGAGTTGTGGCTTCATACATGTGGCTCAGTTGGCAGTAGCGCCCGGCCATTTGTAATATCTAGTAAGCACGGCTTGGATTCTCGTCAAAACCTGAATTTATTCCAGACTTCTTTTCTGCAAATTTTTAAAAATTGCAACTCACCTGCGAGGATGATTGCTCTGCTTGATAATCAACCTGCAGATAAAGTGAAATTTATTTCATTTCAAATTCTCTCAGATTAAGGGGAGATGCGTTAGAGAGTGTGAGTCTAGGGACTGGCTCTATATGTCATTGTCTGAAAAGCCAGAGTTCACTGTATCACCTAAGAAATTGTAATACGTATCGATTGTTACAATGTGAAGCGTATTTTTTAACTAAAGGTTGAAACAGTAACTGTGATTACTACAAAAATCCTTGTTAGTGATTCATCAAAGTTGATAACATCTGTGCCTTTGTTTCTTCAATGCAACGTGAGGAAAACTTAGGATTTAAAACGTCATGGCGTAGTAGTTGTAAGTTGCTAACTGCCATAAATCTTTTGGGTGAATAAATATTTTCTCCTATTCTTTAATGGCCTTTAACAGAGGCTGAACCAGAAATGGACCAATCTTAAGATCATGTCAGAGCAGAGGAAGGAAAACTTGGACAATGCTCAGGAAATTCAGAAATTCCACAGGTATTGTGTAAAGCACAAAATACAATTACGTTATCTTTAATATCCTGGAACCTCAGTTCAATCAGTGGCCAATGGACTGGAGAATAGCTTTAACATTCTGGTCGGAATTAATTATTTAAGACATTTCTTGTTGTCACGATAAAGTTTCTCAACATAAAGTTCATTACAATTCTTTGTTACTTAGGGAGGGGAGGGCTGACGATTTTTGTTTTCAGTTTACCAAGAGATTCTTTTATCAAGGTGTACACTTTCTAATAAGTTTTGTTTTCCAATAATTCAGAGATGCTGATGACACCAAGGCTTGGATTTCAGAGAAAGACACTGCTCTTTCCACCTCAGATTATGGTCGGGATTTGGCTAGTGTCCAAGCCTTGCAGAGAAAGCACGAAGTTTTGGAGAGAGACTTGGCCGCATTGGAAGAGAAGGTATGGTAACTAGTTCGTCTCTCGGGGCACTTTCTATTTGAATTGAAATACTAACGAAAATTTCCCATCAAATGGATCATAAGATCTAAATATGGATCTTAATCACTTCATTACTGAAAATTACATCTTCTGTCGTCATTAGGTCCGTGAACTGAACGTGGAAGCTGCGAAGTTAACATCCAGTCATCCTAATGCAGCACAGGACATTGAATGGAAGCGACACGAGTTAGAAGAAGCTTGGGCTAATCTCAGAGAACAGGTACACAAACTCTTATAGCTCCATCTGAAGTTATCCTGTGATACCGTCACTCTCCAAATATGACCGCAAATTCTGGGTCTTAGCCTGCAAAACGGATTATTTCTTGAAAACTCCGAGAATTCCCTGTAATGTCATCAAAATTTAGTTGATTCTCACTGTTGCACTTCGCGTTTTCGTTTTTAAGCAAGGGTTAAAGGTGAATCACCTTTTCGTTTATAAAATGAATAGTAACATATTTTTTGTATTCGTGCACATTTTAAGGCGGCTGCTAGAAGGGGCAAACTCAGTGACTCCTCTGATTACTTCCATTTCCTCAACGAATTCAGGTAAGTAATGGCTATGTCATTTGGGGCATGTCATTTGGGGCATGTCATTTAGTGAACATCCTCACAATTTGTTCTTTCTGTCCATTTGGGGTAAGGTCTTTGGCACAGACACATGTTTGTGTTGGGTAGCATGTAATTTTTTCTTGTCATATTTCAGAGATCTCACTTCATGGATCAACGGTATCATGGCACTGGTAACGTCTGATGAACTTGCAAAGGATGTGGCCAGCGCTGAAGCTCTGCTGGACAGGCATCAGGTATGGTGTAAATACTTCACAATTATATTTTGAGCCTAAGTTCGAGAAATTTGTATCCAGTCGACCACGTTAAAGAAGTTAAAGTTGTCTTTCCCGGTACAATCCATTCAGACAGAATACACCTGAAGGGGCAACCTTATCGAACTTAGATATTTCTGAACTTGGCAACATTGCTATACTTGTGTGGAGTGATTATATTGCTGAGATTTGCTTTTTACAGGAACACCGAGCAGAAATTGACGCACGTGACAGTGAGTTCCAGTCGTTTGAAGATTTCGGCAAGAAATTGTTGGACAAAGAACATTATGCTAGTCCCGACATCCGTGAAAAACTGGAGACCATGGCTACAGAACGAGAAGAACTGGAAAAGTAACTATTTGTTCCCTTCTGTGAAAGCTTTATCCTAATCGACGATGAATGATATCGCTGGGATCTGCAAAATGCTCTCTTTTAAATATGTCTATTTTGTCAAACCAAAGCTTCATTTTACATTCTTGTTTTCTGTAGTCTGCGATCGCGATCAGTTCTTACCTTTTAGTTTGTTCCCCCTTTATAAATTTTTAGACGAGTTTTTAATTTTTTTGAAACTCAATTCCTTTTCAGAGCTTGGGCTTCTCGAAAGCAGCGACTTGATGAATGTTTGGAGTTGCAGGTTTGTGTACACTCCTAAAGTGATGGTTGCCAGAACCAACTGATTATTTATACTTTTTACATCTTTTGCTGTGTGACAATGAACACAGATACGATGAGAAATTCGTCGTCCCAAATTGAAGTAGGTTTCAACTGATTAGCGAAAGTGATCCTGCGTCGTGTTGGTTTTTTTCACTTCGCTTTGCAATTGGTCCACAAAGTTCGCGCTGATTCAGCCAATCAAATGAAAAGGTGAAACAAACCCTGAATAAAGGGGATAAGTTTCTAAAGAAACTGTGGTGCTGCGTCGGTGGGGAAGTATAACGAGGTAATTATGGTTTATCAGCTAAGTTGATAATGTAAATTGGCCACCTTAAAGAATTTCAAAGCTGACGTTTCGAGCGTTAGCCCTTCGTCGAAGCGAATGGAGAATTTTGTCGCGTTTTATTATCCCGTGCTTGTGGCCGCTTTTGGGTAGTTGAGTTCTGTTCGGTTCCTTGTGAAATTTTCCTTTTCCCTGATTGGTCATTGCGACTTCTTTGGTTCTGGTTTTACGACAATCGATTGTGAAGTGCTCTGTGATTTAAGGCTTTATTGCATCAAAAGACTTCTGGCTTTATTGTTTTATTTTAACAGTTATTCAATCGAGATGCCGAACAACTGGAGCAGTGGATGGCGACACGCGAGGCCATCATTCAGAGCGAAGATGTGGGAGAAGCAGCGGAGGGTGCTGAAGCTCTCATCAAGAAACATGAAGACTTCACGAAGACACTTGCAGTGCAGGACGTGAAAATCAGTGCTCTGAAGGACAATGCTGATCGGCTGATTGATAACAGTCATTATGACTCTCCAGCTATTGCTGAGAGGATTGCGGCAGTCTTAGCAAGGTGACTTCAACGTTTTCTTCACACAAAGATAACAATGTTATCAGACGGTCATTAATCTCAATACTTTCATTCGAATGTGGAGCCTGACATGTAACCATCGTTTTACATGGAAAGCACCATTTAAAGATTGTTTTTCGGACAGCTTTCGCGTTATTTTCGATGAATTAAGTGAGGGATACTTGTAACTCACTTTCATGTTCTCATTGTTCCATGAAACAAAGGCTCTTGTCCAATTTATTTTAAAAATACCTCTGCGAAGAAATTTGCTTAGAAATTTGAAATTCGGTATTTGCTTCTTGAGCATGACTGAGTTTCCTCATTCATGATATTTGTTGTGTAAGATTTTTCAAACTAACGATCAAAGTACACTTTTCCCCTGTTACAGTTGTTTATCCTTTTGTTGTTTTGTGTCACAGGTGGGCTACTCTGAAGGCAGCCTTGGTTGAGCGCCGATCAAAACTGGGTGAGTCCAAAACCATTCAGCAGTTTAGTCGTGATGCTGAGGACATTGAAGCATGGGTCAGTGAAAAGCTTCAGACAGTGCTAGATGACTCTTATAAGGATCCAACCAACTTACAGGTATTTTTGTCCACTGTCAACTCATGATGAAGTTTCGATAGTTGTATTAGCCTACGCGCAGGCTGTCGTTGCCGCTGCAACACGAGCGGCCAAGCGTTCGGGTTTCGAGCCGGCAAGCGAAGTGGACATGCGAGTGGTCTACAGAAATTCGGAAATGAGTGCCAGGCCCCTCACACAGAATTCTCGCGGGCGCAGCCGCTCGTTTCGCAGCGGTAAACAGTTCGAGTCCCAGGTTAGTATATTGTAGAAATACAAGTTATTATGACCTCTAGACCCCTCTTACTGTCTGATTCGGCAGTCTCATCTTTTACATATCTTAGAGTTTTGTCTCCCATTGTTCGTCAGCTAAACGTGAGTTTTACCGATTATCCTCGCAGTTTAATGCTTCAAAAGGGTCCGCGATCAAGTGTCAGTTGGGTCATTGGATTTTGTTTGTTGCAAATAGGATAATTGTACATATTGTTCATTTTCAGTCCAAGTTCCAAAAACATCAGGCGTTTGAAGCTGAAGTCTCAGCCAATCAGGAGAGAGTTTTGGAGACCATCAACCTAGCTGAAGGTAAACAGCGATGAAAGAGCTTTGAACTAAATGGCTCGGAAGTTAACATCGTAATTCAAGGAGGTGATTTTCAAATTGTTTGTGTTTTTTGTTCATGTAGGTCTCATTGAGCAGCGCAAGTGTGCCGGAAGCGAGGAGATTGTGAAAGAGAGAATCACCAAACTTCAGCAGCAGTGGGAATACCTGGTGCAGAAGTCAAATGAAAAGAGTCAACATCTGAAGGAATCTAATCAACAACAGCAGTTTAATACAAATGTTAAGGAACTGGATTTCTGGTTGGGAGAGGTAAGAACACACGCACACCGATATATCTTTGAGGTTGTCATCTTCTCTCGAATCTTAACCAGCACTCGGCTAAAATCGGTCTTCGTCGCAATGCATTCTGGAATAATGTTACACTGAATCCAAGGCCTTGTTTGGAACACATTCTGAAGAGCAAGATAACAGAGAGCCTAAAAAACATCCGAGATCCCTGTACAGTATCTAGCTTACTATACACTTCACATTATGACGTAGACAATTGTTTTTAAACTATGATAAACACGAGTTAAGTTTCCCTTGTAGGACTACCTTTTTTGTTTCGGTCTTTGTTTTGTTTTGTTTTTGTTTTTTTTTGCGTTTTTCAGTCGAGTAGCCGCAAACGTGCGAGTGGAAGAACGCTTAACTTCCCTCTCGCGCTCGCCTCGCGTTTGCTCTCGCTCGCCGGAAAATTGCCATTAAACTAAATGTTGCTTGTTTTGTAGGCGACAAGGGAGTGGGAGTAGTATGTAAATAAAAGGTTGTAAAGGATATATAGAACTCCGGCTATGTTCAGGTTCATACCCATAGAAATAAAGCGTTGTTAAATTTCGGGATGTTCTTACCATTTCCCTTGCGATGTTTCATTGTAGGTTGAAGCTTCCCTGTCTCACGATGATTATGGTCGTGACTTGGCCAGTGTCCAGAATCTGATCAAGAAGCATCAACTTGTTGAAGCAGATATTGCTGCTCATGAGGTTTGCATGCAGTTCAATGTTGTTTAAGGCACGTTTGCCATCGTGAATTGAAGATTAGAAAAATAAAAAGGTTGGTACACTTAATCTGATGAATTAACTTTTCAGGATCGTATTACTGATCTGCAAGCCCAGACCCAGCACTTCGCTGAAGTTGGCCATTTCGATGCAGACTCTCTGCAAGACAAATCCCGCATTATTGCCGAACGTTATGACAAGTGAGTCAACATTTGCCCATCATTGTGTTTTCGTTAGTATTATTCTGTTATCAAGTAAGTCAAACAAGATGAGCCACAGGACTACTTTGACCCACACACAAAGACCTCTAGTAAGTATCTAATCGCATCGGAAACCCTGGTCTCGTTACTAGACCAGAATCAGATATACTTCGAACCACGTTTACCGCAAATGGGAAGGTCCAATTCACCTCTGGTTTCCTTCACTTCCCCTCCTGTCCTGTAATTGATCAAACAGAAAAAGGTTTCATTTCTCTTATTTCTCCTTTTCACACCATGCTCTTACGTGCATTTTCACATTATTTTGCCAAGGGCCGAAAAGCGGCCAACAATTTGCCGTTCACGAAAGCGTTGTTCCAATGTTCTTTTTCACAAAAAGTTTGTTGGCATGGTTTACATCCAGTGCAGTCATCCTTTTTCGATGAACATTATTGACAATTTGTTTTATTTGAGAAGCATTGATTTAAAATTTTTAATTGTACCTATCTACTCTTTTACATTTTATTTCATATATCAAGTTTTCTTTTCTGTGCTGTACAGAGTAAAGGACATGGCTGCGGATCGCCACAAGATGTTGGACGAGTCCAACGCTTTGCACCAGTTTTACCGAGATGTGGACGACGAGGAGTCCTGGGTCAAGTAAGTGGCCAGTCTGTGAAGAGCTTTCTACAAATGAGTGAACACTAAGTTTTTATCTGTGTGTTTCATCAGGGAGAAAAAGCTATTGACAAGCTCTGAGGATTATGGAAAGGACTTGACTGGAGTGCAAAACCTGCGTAAGAAACATCAGCGTTTGGAAGCTGAACTGAACACTCATGAGGCCAGAATACAGGTCAGAAATCAAAATTTATATTACCTATTGTTAGTATATTCAAATGGCGAATGGAGCGTCGTATATGAAGTGGTCGATAGCCAGTGAAGTGCTTCTACGATAAACAAGTCTGATGCGGCTTACCTATGGTAGAATGGTTCATATACCATAATGGAGGAGCCAATCGAAACTATAGAATTACATTATCGTTTGATTTAATTATTAAAAGTTTCAAAATCCGTGTAGAAGTTTTGTTCACTAACGAATAACTTTTTGTTTGTACAGGCTGTACTGCTGTGTGGCCGTAAATTTATTGACGAAGGACACAGTAGCTCTGATGAAATCAAGGTTCGCTGTGATCAGCTGCAGGAAAACTGGGACGAACTGAAAAACCTGGCAGAGCAGAGGTGTGTTCAGTTACATGCGTAACACTGTATATAGTTTGCAGATGGATTTTGTTGTCTTGAAAAATCTGTCTTGTTTTGACCGTTGCCTGTGCTACTATTTTGCAGGCAGCACAAGCTAGATGAGTCTCTAGAATATCAACAGTTCAGCGCTAATGTCGGTGAAGAAGAATCGTGGATCAATGAGAAGAACACTCTTGTTGGAAGTGACGACTATGGTGATACACTGGCTGCAGTCCAAGTGAGTCAATTGACCCACCTCCCCCCTCCCCCTGATTCTTTGGTTTAATAGCATGTTCTTAACTTAGGTTTAAAGTGCACTTAAACTCCAATTTTTTTTCGCTTACCGAAATAAGCGTATTTTTTGGAGTATTTCTGTACAGAAATTTTTTTATTTTCTCAAATCTTCAATTTTCTGTGCCCAGCCAAAATACGGAAAAAGGATGTAGCAACGTGCGAAATTTGCAAGAGGGTATCGCGCTTCATACATTCCTCATACAACACACCTAGTCGGCATATTTCGGACAATATCGACGACAACCTTCCCAAACAAGTGAAAATGTGTGAAATGCAGACTTTCGTGTTCTCGATTTGACGTCACATTACCCGCTAGAGCCATTCCTCTTTAATCTCGGTCGTGGGGCAAGATGGCGGCCGATTTTCCGTATTTTGACTGTGCACAGAAATACTTCAAAAAATAAGCTTATTTCGTTAAGTGAAAAAAAGTTGTTGGGTTTATGTGCGCTTTAAGGTCAAACAATACAAATGATTTGACCCTTTCACTCCCCAGAAAGGCGGACGATTTTTGTTGATCTTCACATTTTTTTTAAGTTCAAACTTCGATGCAGATGATTCTTACATCTATGCCCTGTCACACAACTGATTCGTCTTCTGTTGGCACTTTACTAGGGTCTGTTAAAGAAGCACGAAGCTTTTGAGACAGATCTGGAGGTTCATCGGGAAAGAGTTCAGGACATTGAAGAGGCAGGCAACAAGCTCATTGAAAAGGTGAACTTCATTGAATTTAAAATTATTTAACTATAACAAACCACTTCCTCTTTTATGTTCGAATCCTACTTTCTCTGTCATTATTAAGAACTCGACCGGGCCAACTGACAGGTTGTTCTTTTTTTCCACAGGGAAACCACCAATCGGAGTTAATTGAACACAGGATTGCATCCATTAAGGTAACGGTGTTACTAGTTGATCATGCAGCTGAATGGTGAACACGAACACGAACACGAACACGAACACGAACACGAACACGACGCTCCTCTCCAAACAACCTCCCGAATAGTTGAATTCAGAATAAGGTTTTCCATTTACAATAAAAGAAAAACGATTGGATTTAGCTAGACTCGTAGAGTTTCTCTGTTCTCCTCATTTATTTGATGGACCTCTCGGTAACGTATCGTAATGTTGGCTTTTTGTCAGCTTTGAACGACTTTATTCGCTTTCTGCTTCATTTAGAGTAAACTTGCCGAGTTGGAGAGAATGGCTTCCTATCGCAAGTCCAAGTTGAACGACAACTCAGCTTTCCTGCAGTTCAACTGGAAGGCCGATGTGGTGGAATCCTGGATTGGTAACGAAAAGTTTTGGTGTTTTTTTTTTTTTTTTTTTTTAGCTCGGCGTGATTGCTGTATTTTTCTCTTTCTGTTTATTCCTTTTGCTTCAAAGTAAGTTGCTCTATTCTTTTGTTTTAGGCGACAAAGAAGGAATTGCTCGATCTGATGAACTGGGGCGCGATTTGTCTTCAGTTCAAACTCTCTTCACCAAACAGGTAAAGTGCAAGATGAAATTCAACAGGACAACTTGTTAGTCTAGTTAATTGTACAGGTCTACTGTTTGTTGGCCTTGATTTTCAGAGTTAAATCTTTATGAAGTGAATCTAGTTGGCAGTGCCTATAAAACTTCCATAACATTTTCTCTGTGCTCTGTTTTCTGTTCCAGGAAACCTTTGATTCGGGTCTCCAAGCGTTTGAAAACGAAGGCATTGCACGTGTGACTGTGCTGAAAGATGAGCTTGTCCAATCACAACACGAGCAGTCACCTGCCATCATTAAGCGTCATGATGACCTTATTAGGAGGTGAGTGTTTACTCTCAACTAAGAAAAGACGAACTCAGCCGTTTCAGGGCGGCAAAGCTTCCTCCTTGTTTTAACGTTGCTCCCAGATCGAAGAAACTTTTAACGCTCCCATAACTTGTTTCCGCTTCTCTTACAAAGAGTTAAATTGACTCTCCAGATAAGAGTTAAAAATGTGTTTTTTGTTTACACTCTCAGGTGGGAGCAGCTATTGGAAGACTCCAGGACTCGAAAAGAACGACTTCAGCATGCCCAGGATCAGTACAAGAAGGTGTGTACTGTATTTGTCTGTTTTTGTCCACTGTTTTGCTGGTTAAGTTGTAGTTTCGGTCACCGCACCATCCATGTTGCTCAAGAGTGCATCACTATTAAAAGCTGTCTCTTTTTTAGGTGGAGGACTTGTTCCTGTTGTTTGCGAAGAAAGCATCTGCTTTTAACAGTTGGTTCGAGAATGCGGAGGAAGATCTGACTGATCCAGTGCGGTGTAACTCTGTTGAGGAGATACGCGTAAGTATTCTCACTGAACAGGCAGGAAAACTTTGTTATTTATCTTCCCTGTCGGGAATCTGGCTGCTCAGAACATCGAGCATAGATGATCTGACCGAAGATGCGAGTGGCGAAACTCGCGACTTCGATTCGAGCTAGACGCTTTCTTAAGTTGAAGCAATGGCATGTTGCTTACACCAATCACAAATGTAATATTTTACTATTATTTTTTCGAAATTTCAGGCCTTGCAAGATGGCCACACCCAGTTCCGCGCGTCTCTGGACCAAGCCGAAGACGACATCATGATGTTGAGGAAGCTTGATCGTCAGATCAAGAGCTATAATGTCTCCATCAACCCGTAAGTTTTCCTATGTGTATTGCAAAGATAACTGTCGTATCTTCATTTGACAGGTTTCGTTCCTGCCTCTTACACCTGACTTCCCTTCTGTCCCATTTACATTTAACTGCCAGGATAGTGGTTTTCAATGCAAACCCTGTCCTAGACTCTTAGTGGTGGCATTTCTTTACTTTTAAGTCAATTTTTTATGAACAGAACGCATGCCAGTCACCTTATTACTTGTTCACGCAAGAGCTAAAAAATGCGTGTCATACTAGAAGCCTTCTTGCCACTGTTCGTGAAAGGACATCTGCTCAGATGAAGACGGTTTAGAGTAGGGTTTTGCTTATCAACGGCTACACTTAGGCGCTAAAGAAGCGGCCCATAGATCTTTAGCAACCTTTTGATTCATTTAAGATGGTAGTAACAGGGTCTTTTCATCCCTTTTAGTTACACTTGGTTTACTATGGAAGCATTGGAAGACACCTGGGAGAATCTACAGAAGATCATCGAGGTTTATAAATTCTATTTCGTTTACTTTATTTTTCTCCACCAAACTACAGCATAAAAATGCTTTTCATGCAAATGACTGAGAAGTGATTTAGTACCTCTCCGCTGATGGCTCCGAATGATTATAAAACTTTCACGCATTTGGGGTGAAGTGTTTAAAAAATTGCCTATTACTTCTCAGTCTTACTTTAGCAATTCTCTTCTAATACGTAAATCTTGCTTGGGAGAGTCTTCGTTGTCGAATACATTGAAAGGAGGCTTGTATGGGAGTACCTTGCCTTGGGAATGAAAGGAAAGATTAAGTACGAATTTAACCCAACGTATCTTCGTTGTGTTTTAGGAACGCGAGGATGATTTGCGTAAAGAAGCCCAGCGCCAAGAGTACAACGACAACCTCAGACAGGAATTTGCACAGGCTGCCAACTCTTTCCACGCTTGGCTCTCAGATACAAGGTACGATGAACATGTTTGCTATGGAAGAACAGTAAAGAAGCAAGTTTAGCAAAAAGAAAGTGTTAACGTTGTATCACACTCAATGTTTCTTTTCTTTACAGGGTTGCAATGGTCGACGGTCAAGGGGACCTTGAAGATCAACTGGCCGAGGTTAAGAAGAAGAGTGCTGAGATAGCAGACAGGAAAGAGGACCTTAGGATCCTGGAGGATCTTGGGGCTCAAATGGAAGAGGCTCTTATCCTAGACAACAAGTTAGTTGAGTTATTTGTAGATGAACGCCCAGAAATGTGCTTTATATGGAAAAAATGCACGCAATGTAGTGTAAAGTAACATTGCATGTTAGAGATGTTCACGTGCTGGATGCTTGATATTTATTCTTGGACTCGTGTGTTAACAAGTGTTTTGTTTGGCATTTAAGGTATACTGAGCACAGTACAGTGGACCTTGCTCAGCAGTGGGATCAGCTGGATCAACTTGCCATGCGCATGAAACACAATCTGGAACAACAGATCCAGGCCCGCAATACCACTGGCGTTTCCGAAGATACACTCAAAGAATTCACCATCATGTTCAAGTAAGTTTCTTTTTACTACGAAACACGAACGATAGAAGGCTGTGGAAGTCTACCAAGTATTTTTAATGTCTTTCAGGCCAGTTGCTTGCGTTGAACGTTGTATTTTGTGAAGTAAATGGCCCCTTAGAACTCTAGATTGTTCCTAGAGATTACACTTACCACTTCTTTTTTGGTACTGTCACCATATCGATTTTTTAAAATCAACTTTAACTTTTACTTAAACCAAATTTATGGCTGTGAATGAGTTTTTCATTTTTGTTGGCTGCAAGGCTGTACCTCGAGCCGTATTCAAATTTTCTTGCACTCTACCTCTATCTCTTCAACAGGCACTTTGACAAGGACAAGACTGGTTACCTGGATCATCAAGAATTCAAGTCGTGCCTGCGTTCTCTTGGCTACGATCTGTCCATTGTGGAGGAAGGTGAAGAAGATCCCGAGTTCCAAAGCATCCTCCGAACGGTGGATCCCAACGGGTAAGAGGCCTGGTGCCCCACTGAATTGCTTCGGCAACACTGGCAGTAGGTTACCACTCATTGACTCGTTCACACCCATGGGTTTCAGCTTGAGACAAACCTTTAGAAAGGATAAGAAACAGCACCGCTCGAAAGTACTACCAAATAGCTCTTTATCAGAGTACCACGCACTAAAGGTTTTCAAGACTATAACAAAAAAAAATATTTTTGTATTGATAAGTGGTAAAGTTGTTGTTCTGGTGAAGTTAGTGCGAATATGTTATCGCTTTGTTTTAAAGCAACCGCACTTTTAGTTGAAAGGGCATAGTTAATTTTTTTCTTTGTTTATTCTTGTGTCACTGGCTGATTGTCTCTCGCTTTCAATTGTTCGTAGTGACGGTGTGGTTTCGATGGGAGAGTACATGGCCTTCATGATCAGCCGTGAGACAGAAAATGTCGGCTCAAGCCAGGAAGTCATCAACGCCTTTAAGGCGCTCACTGATGGTGGCAAACGTCTCTATGTTACTGAAGCTGAGCTCTATCAGGTAACCTCTACACCTCAAATTTAAACCTATGGGACGGACGGGAGAATGAGTCTTCTTTGAAACTTGCTTGACTTCCCACGAAAACCATTATTTTGTAGCTTCTGTCTGTTGAGCAATTTTCACGTCCCGGAGAAGGACTCGATTTATTGCTAAGTAGGTCCTTATAGTTCCCTCAAAGCTACAGAACTGGACAAGGCTTCTCTATTCGCATTCAGTCTTGATTTCCTTGTCTCTCGTTTCAGTCTCTCACCAAGGAGCAGGCCGACTTCTGTATTGATCGAATGAATCCGTACGTCGACGACAAGGGCCGAGAAGTTCCGGGAGCTTACGACTACAAGACGTTCTGCGAGGAACTCTTCTCTTCTAGCTAAATTAGTCAGTCCGGCATAAATTTACAATACTTGTGGTATGTTCCTTTTTTCTGAAGAAATGAAACACCTCACGGTTAAATGTAACTGGAAGGAGATAGTACCCTAGCAGCTCGCTATTTAGGTATTATGTGAAGCTATCATCAACAGACTAACTGATCACGTAGTGTACAAGGGAATTACCTTTGTAATGTTTCTTCAGTACATGATTTTGTGTTTAGAGTGATAAGTTGTTACTTAGGTAGGGATAGCAGAAAAGTTCTGTTACATTAGCAAACAAAAATCTGGGCCAGTGCATGTTAAAAACATCGGAAGGAAAACCGTGTTCCTGAGCAGTGGTTCATGTATTGCCTAATACCATTTTATGCCGTGGAGGTGTTTTGTTGCTGAAATTTCAAACTACGTCCTAATTTTAGTGTGTAACGGACTATTGGTTAGTTGTCATGTGACATTATCAGTTAGCGTTAATGACTTAAAATAAAAGGGAGTGAAGCAATGACCGGTTCTGTCTGTAGATTTGCTAGCCAACAAAATTGATAAGGAAAATTTAATATTGTGAAGTGGAATTTAACATAGTTAACGATTAGGAGCTAATCTGGTCGGTAGCGTTCTCCTGGCGTACCGTTTATGCGTTCTGTAGCATTGTAGCAACATTGTGGCTGTCAGTGGCTTGGGGGCAGGCCGTCTCCAGCGGTTATCCTTATCAATGTATGCGTTGTTCTCCCATGTGCTTGCGTTGTGCTCGCTGTACTGTAGCGTGGCGTTGTCGTCCCCGAGGATAGCTTCTCGGCGTTCCCTCCCTCCCCTCGACTATTCGTCTTTTTGTTTAGGGTTTTATTTGGCTACGCATTTGTTCACTTATTTATTTGTTTCTTTATTTTTCTACCACTAAGCCTTCCGGCTCTAGTGTGACGGGTGCTAGTCGGGGCTTGACACGGGGGGCTCGTTGCTGGGTTAGGCAGGCCAGTCGGGTGTTCTAGTGCCTTGGGTGCGACTGCGGTTGCAGCCCCGGGCCCCTGGGGCACCTGATTTCCATTTGCGACTTGGGCGTTAATGATAAACTAACCAGGGAAAAATATAGTGAAATGACAGACTGTCTTTAAAGGTCGTTGTTTGAACGAAGTGGCATCGGATAACTTGAACTCCTAAGGCTCAGCAATATTCTTTTGATCCCTCTTTGGTTTACAATTAGCAGATAATTTTCTATGGTCCCCTCTTTAAAATCTGCTGAAGACGACTTATCCCCCCTCCATACCCCTGTGACCCTTAAAAGCTACTACCAACTCTCCCCACCTCAGGCGACAAGTAATGGCTTGTCCTTTGGGAGTCCTTTTTGGTTCTTTTGGGAACACGAAAACGATTTGCCGCTGTCACACTTCCGTTTCCGCTTCGCGGATCGCCAAACTCTAAAACCATCTTAAGCTATCCTTTTTAAGCTTTAATTATTTACCAAAAGCTATTCTTAAGAATATGACGAAACTTTTGTAAATTGCTACTAATTTAGAGCCACTTAACAAAGACAATAATTAGGAATAAATGCGGTAACTCCTTCCTTCACTTTTCCGACGTTGAAAAAACCAGCGAAAGAACCGTTCCTTTTTCTCTATTCTTTTGTACTTTTTTAACGTTAACTTAGGCTAAGATTCAAAGTAGCCGCTTACAAGCAAAGCCTTAACAAACTTCAGTAATAACTCACAAAAACGAACTTTCCTTTAAGACTAGATATTTGATTGTCATGTGGAAAGCTTGTACGACTGTACTTGGAAACAATTGCAAAAGATTTGGCAACCTAAGATGCACGCATATCATCGCCTATTGGCCTTGTATCTCATATCAGGGGTTCCATCTTTTTTCAGTGGACCACGTGCCTGAAGCTGAAGCTGCGGAGGGGGGTGGGACTGTCTGTTGACTGCATAGCGCATGTCCGGCGTCCCATCCCTCTTAAGAGGTCCCCGCGCGCCGCTTGTGGCTGCGGAGGCAACACCAAAACGCTGCTTGTTCACGGTATACCGCATGTCTGGAGTGCCGTCTTTCTTCAGAGGTCCCACGGCCAAAGGTGGCCCCCTAGAGGAGCTTGCTCGACCGGAAAGCGTGCTACCAACTTCTGAACATGCAGGACTTGTAACACAGGAGGAGCCGCGCAGTGCTGTTCTGTTGTTTCTAGACCTCATGTCCGGTGTGCCTTTGTTCTTCACTGTGTGAACTTTTACTGGTCTGGCGGTTGAAGTTGACAGTGATGTTTGCCTCACAGTGCCAACTAATCCCTTGTTTATTTTAAATCGCTTGTCAGGTGTTCCATTCTTGTTAACCGGAACAGAAAACTCTCTCCTATGCTCCCTCATCCTCATGTCCGGGGTACCATCTTTGTTAGTTCCACTTCTGCAGAAAATTCTTCGATTTTCCTTGTAGCGCAAGTCCGGTTGGCCGTCTTTCTTTTTAGGGCCCGTCAGGCAACTTGCCTCTTCGTCGTCAGACGCATCAGTGCTGTCACGACCACGAGGCAAGTAACTTAAGTCGCTGTCAAACAGGGAACTATCATCACGCTCGTAACAATGCGAGTAACTATCGGGTGGGTTGCCTTCACATAGGTGACTCTGAGGCAGGGAACTGTTGTGCAGGCGACTGTCACGTAAATAACGGTCAAGCAAGTAACCGTCGTCATGTTCATCTCCCTCACGTGGGCCACCGTCGCGCGCGTTACCAGTTTTGGGCCGGAAGGTGCCAGGCAAGTAGCTGTCACCTGAGTAACATCCATGACGGTGGTCAAGATGGTCACTTTCGCGCAATCTGCTTTCCCCGATGTCTTCTCCGTTGTAAGATGCAGATGGTAAGCCCTCTTGGTCCGCTGGGAATTCTTCTCGCGAACCCTCATGCCAGGAATCGCCATCATTTGAGTCTTCGTTCTCCTGAAAACCTTCATCATCGTAACTTCCGGAGTGAGACATGGAGTAGCCCTGATCCGCCAGCCTCTGTCGGGCCTCCTCGATCACTTCAAGGCATTCAGGGGAGCTTCCGATTCTTGGATCCTGTTGGATGGAGGCCAAGAATTCAACGCTGGTCTGCTCCAAGCGAACATAGGCCAGCAACCTGCTCAGATGAGGAAGACGATTCTTTTCGTCAAACTCCAACCATTTTATGACAGCATGATAGACATCTTTCTCATCTTCAATTTCCAGGTTGTCATCCTGGATTATTTCCATCAGATCTTCGTGGCCGAGTTTATCGATTCCGTCTTCAGTACTGAACGAACTGAAATTGCTGATGATAAGTATCCTTGCTCTTTTTTCAAGATCTGCAGTGTACTCTGAATCTAATTCGCGAACCAAGCACAGGATACCCACCACATCATAAGCCTCCAGTTTGGCAATCAGCCATTCGCAGCAGACTTTAGCAAGTGCAGGTATTTGATAATTGCATGCAGCTCTGAGAAGACCCACAGCATTTTCCCGTTGCAGAGTCACTTTGGCCGAGTAGAGGTAACCGATAAATTCGCGAAGAGCATTAGCATGGATACCCAGACGAATTGGGCGTCTTCTTCGAGACATACAACCTTGCAACATGATTTCTTGAAGGGCTGGTGACGCAGCCGCGATGAGAGGGCCATGTGCTTCTAACTGTATCTTTCCCTGATGGTCTTCTACTATCGTTGTGATTAGTTCTTTCCCCAAGAACATATGGAATAGCTCTGAAAGCACATCCTCGTGATCATCAGGTGCCACCCTTATCCTTCCCTGACGATCCTCTAATTCTTCACATTTCGCTGCGAGGGAATCGATTTCAAACTGGACAGCAAAGTTGTGGAGGTCTTGTAGAGTGTCCTCATCTATCGTAAACTCACATTTATAGATGAATTTTCTGAGACAACAGAGAGTTTTTTTAGTCAATCCCTCAAGCGCAATAGCCCTTGTGGAATCTTTGGCACTCCTTGCCATAAGAAGACCTTTGACTTTTGGGCTGCTTGCAGCAAGAAGAGGAGAATGTAACTTTTCTTCGGAGTCTTTCCTTCTGGAGGTGAGGATCACGTCGGTTAAGATTCCCCCATCTCCGGCCTGCATGTCGCAAAGGTTGTGTAGAAGAATCTTCGCATGATCTTCCTTTTTAAAAACGAAAGTTACAGCATTCTCGCGCACTTCCTTTCGTTCCTCTACAGCCACATCCAAAAGATTGTTTGAGGACATCCTGCAAAGAAGGAAATTATTATTTAGTAAGTATGATTTCCACGAACATTTCGCCCTGGAAACTAGGAAACACAAGCGATGAAAACAATATCACCAAATTCGCTAGTGGAAATCACATCATGAAATTCAAACAAAAAAATCTTAACCTTTATTGTGTCCTTGGTTGCTAAAACTATCAAAGCCTGGCTTTCGATTTTCAGGTAGTTTTATTTCAGATGCTGCCATTACGCCTATCAAAAAATATGGGGAACCCTAGTGGAAGTCAACAATAAGTATTTTGTTCCGAGGGAAATTCCATACTCGATTCCCAGAAACTTATGGGTTGAACGGATGCTGAGTGTCATATAGACACACCTTACTTTTGATAAAGAGATTATAATTTCTTTGTTTTGACAGATAATTCATCTGTAAAATGTCTTGAACTTCGAAGAGAAAAGCTAGCATTCGGAACTAATCATGCAGAATAACTGAATAGCTTCTCTCAGCGACGAATAACGAACACTGATAAGATGTGAAAATTGAAGAATCAACGCTTCATGGAGAAGAAAAGAAACGAAAGTGAATTTTTTTTTTTTTTTGCTTGATTAAGTAAATATCACTCATCTTTTTTTCGTGGTATCGAGATCTAAAATTAGCCGTGCGACTTCCGGTCTTACTTTGTTATGTCAGTAGTTTCGATTCTGCAGGGGAAATATCTGCGGCCTTAATTTTCTTCAAGCAATCAATACCAACCTTTTTCTCAGTCTCAAGGCCTTGAACGAAACGAAAAGAAGTGAGTTTCATTCACTACTCGAAGACATCTTCGGCTGGAGTACAAGCTCTAAATCAAAGTGAAAGTAAACTTGGTAGCGGCGCTGAAGGTTGTTTACGTATCAAACGGCACCAACTCCTTGGATCGAATATATTTTAAATGAATTCTCTGTTTTTCTTGATATG